TAGGCTGCTGGGCACTTCCCATGTTGCACAGAATGGTTTTTCTTCACATACCTCTTTTATTCTCTGTGATTTTAAGCACAGCTCTGCATTAAATCATTAGTATTAATCTCTGGCTCTCGTCCACAGTATGTTTGTTGTCCTGTCTCCTTCCCCTCACCTCCAACTGGTCGTGACAGATGGCTGCCTCTCCCTGAGCCTGGTTATAGCAGAGGTTTCTTCTGTTAAAAGGGAGTTTTCCCCTCCCACTGTCAATAAGTGTAAGTGCTTGCTCATTGGGGGTCATCTGATTGTCGTGGTTCTCTCTGTATTATTGTAGTGTCTTTACCTTACAGTATAAAGTGGCTTGAGGCAAATGTGATTTGTGATTGCTATGTAAAGTGAAATGAATTGAAGTTAAGTTGTGTACATGTCCATGATGAATGCTTTTCATGCAGTTTCTTTGCTTTATCAGGTTTATTTTTATACACATTCAGAAAATATACAAACACACACGTACACAGTACAGTGCCCCCTTGATAATCTGACATTCTATCACAATTCATGATCATACATTTTTAATCAGGCACAGAGCAGAGCTAAATAACCTGTATGACCTTAATCCACAATGACAGTTCCTCCTTACTGCACACTATGAACATGCATAGTTCTCTCTTCAAGGTTCTCCACTGCTAAAATCCGTGAAAGCCACTTATATACCAGACAACATCCTATGTAGGAATAAAACACTGACACGCCCTTCACTCTGAAATCTTATCTTAGCGTATAGGAAATCCTCCCAAACTTATCTCAGCCATTTATCAAAATCTTCAGTAGCTTTCTGTGTGTATATTTATCTTCCTCTTCCCATCCTTTAGTTTACAGGATTCATTTTCTGCCTGCCTGATAATTTATCCAGCCTCAAAATCCTGACACATCCTGATGTTTTTCTATCTCCCTCCCCCATCTGACTATTCTGAGCCAGAGCACAAGTCTGCCCCCTGGCGTTTACATCCTGTCATGTCTGCCTGTGCTTTCCAGAACTATGTACTCATTGTCAGTGAATGTTATCATTTTTCTAAGTAGATGAATTTCGTTTGATCTTATTGTCTTTAAAGTCACACACAGAACATTAGATTGGATGCCCTAATTTCTAAGTACATGAGTGCAGTATACTGCATACTGCAAAGTATATGGTGAACTAACATTAAAAGATGGACTCTTGTGAATCAGCATTTCCACTGAACATATAAAAGCAAACCTGTATAAAATAGTAAAAGTAGCTTTACTTCAACCAGCTAGAGCAGAAAAATGCTGCATTTATGTTAATTTAGTAACAGTAATAATACATTATTTTACAGACTTCACAGAATGTCGCTTGCAATGGAATATTTTTATGTTGCAAAACATCTGTCATAATCAAGACATCCCACATCTGTAGGTATGATATGTGTATCACTTATGTCCATTCATAGAAATTGCTTCACCTCAATTTTTCTCCAATCACTGTGTGTTGATATCAATTGCTGTCCCAGTGGTTTGTTTTTTACGCATTTTTGTTTGATATTTGTATTTTTATGCCTTTATGCCAGCAGCAGCCATGCCTGGAGGCATTATGTTTTCAGTTTTTGTCTGTTCCTGCATATGATAATTCAGGAAAGCCAAGTGGGAACTTTACATCGGCATGTTCACTTTCCACTCAAGCATAAAATGATAAGAATTTGGCTGTCAAAGATTTAAGTTATTTTGATCCCCAAACAGTTTTTTTGAACCTTGCCTAAATTAAAACTGCACTAGGTGGGTGTCTAGTATTCCCACAATGGCTGCATCATATTTTGTCTCCATCATAGCCACTGGAACGGATTACATCTCCTCAAGACAATGCTTGTAATTATGAAACTCTCCACTCATGGTCATTAAAAAAATGACCCCATCAAGTGGCAACCTTGGAAGGCAAAGTGCCAAAAAACTGCAGTTCCTCAAACAGCTGGCTCAAAAGGAAGTCAATCCCCATTGGCTAACATTTAAAATTTATCCAAATTAAAAATCATTTTTATCTGATAGATGATCTGTTTTGCCAGTAATTCTTAGCTGGTAAGTTAGCACGCCAGCAAATTTCCCCAAATATGAGCCATTCTGGCTCCAAAATAATAAAACAAAATAAACAAAAACATAAATAAAGAAAAAACAACATGGCAGTCTAATCCATTTCATCACTAACCAGTTTTTTGATATTTATATTGAAAGATTCCTATTTTATCATTTTATTTCTTCTTCTTTTTTTTTACCTTGCACAGCCCCTTACTGTTCTTTATTCTTTTATCAAAGATATGAATAAACCGCATTTTTCTCTCTATGCTGCATATTTCAGTGTAAGTCAGTCTGAAATCTACCTCCTATCCCCTAAGTTGTTGTACCTCTAAGTGTCTCTCTGCATGCAGGACCTGGAGTGATGAATGCTGCTCATCACTTAAGCCCATTAAACAGTTCGTTACCCATCTGTCTCTTTCCCCGTCTTTTCCTCTGTCATCACTTCTTGGTCAGGTTCCAGTCTTGCTAATGCGACTAAAATGAGCCGTGTGCGTGGCAAAGCAAAGTGGATCACATTTGTGCAGGCTTTTTAACACTTCACACTATAACAAGACAACAAGACTCAACACACAAGGAACAGACAAAGCAGAGAGCAAAGACACAGAGAGCACAGGCGGTTCATTTGGACAAGGGTTAAAACACACAAGGTATGAGGCACTTCATATAATGGCTAATTAAACCAAATTAAAAGTGAGCCACAGAGACTTAATTTAACTGCATTATTATGGCATACACTGCTTTGGTCATTTTGTCAAGGAAGGAAAAGGAAAAAGGGTGGGAATGAAAAATAAACTTTAAATGATAAAGATGCAATAAAATCTTCACCAAGTATTCTAAGACCATAAATTATAGCTTTAAGGACTTAGAAAGAAAAGAGTAAAGTGAAATTCCAGCATCCTGGCAAACATTTTGATTTTCAATAACCACCAGATCCATTTCACAGTCTTTACTCTGGGTTGAAAAATACTGCTAGAAGAAGTTTCTTAAAGCTTGCCTGGTAGTCCTTGATAGAAGCATGAGAAAGTTTGTGTCCAAGAACCTTTTTATTTTACTTTTTTATCTTTAAGAAAAATTTAATGAAACATTCCTGATTCAAAGAATGTCAAGAAAAATCCTGAGACAATAACTCGACCTCCTGATCTCCCAGTCTGTGATACATTTTTGGTCCTACTGTGTAAACTCACTAGAAGTAATGATTGTGATAGTCCACACACATTAAGTACGCCATGCAAGAAATGAAATGAAATTTAGATGTACAGAAAAGGAAATGGTTTAATAATGTGGTTTATCTTTAAGAAAATACATAAAGCCCGCTCCTGTAATGCTACTCTCTCTACCTGGGATGGCTGTTGTGTGGCTATTCATAAATCCATTCATAAAATAGTTGTGAATGTGTAACGTCTATTTAACAAAAAAACATTCATATAATTTCTTCATTGCAATATATAGAAAATGTATAGGTTCCAGAAGCCAATGCAGAAGTGCCTCAAATCTACAGTCATCTGGTGGACTTCATTTAGAATTTACTTAATAGGTGTATGGTTCCCATCCACATGTGGAAGTTTATGGTAAATTTGTGGACTGCTTTGTTACAGATTCTAGAGGGAAATGTGACTTGCTGAGTGTGAACCACTGAGAAAAGGGGGATGAGTGAAGGGTTTAAGGTAACAGACAAAATTTTTGGTATTGCACTAAGAGCTCCGAATCATCCATCCAAAATGGCAATTACACACTCATTCTGATAGCATTTGCCCCTGACTGCTAGAAGCAACCAATACGGGCTTCACAACAGGCATAAGACGTGCTTTTTCCCATATTAGATTTAGCACAATTTGCAGTAAATTGCATGCCACAAATATTAGTGTGATGAATGACCATCGAGCAGCCAGGCTACAATTATTGCAGGCAGAGACAGGATTTAGAACAACCCAAGTCTTATTATTTTTATTTATGAAAGTTTTAATTTTTAAACCTTAACAGCTCTGTGCAACACTAGTGACCTATATCAGCAGCAAATATAAACAGCGCTAATTGGGTAATTGGCAGCCTTTTATACCCTGCTGCTAATGAGCCACACTTTACATAACATGCTGGGGGTATTTCCAAACTTCCTAAAAGCCATTTAAGCCCCGTAACCATTTATATATTAGAATTTATAATTAAAACTATCAGCCAATAGCATCTGTAAATCCATTTGCAATAAGACCGTGTAACCCTACAATTACCAAACGCACCCAAACTCTCCACGCATTACCCTGTGACAAAGTGGGTGAGAAGACCATTTGTCTATATTCTTAGTTAACATTCTTGCTTTGAGTTAACCATATTTCACATGTAATCTGCAATAGGCAAACATCTACTGTCCCGGGTTTGTTTATGTTTTGCACTTTTACAGATTATATAATATAACATCTTGGTTTAAATCAATTCATACAAGTTTGTTAAGTTAACATGTTCTTTATTTCAACTGTTAATTGGTATTGTTTAGAACTTACCTTACCTACCTGTCTTACAGAAACAAAAGGAGGAAATGTAGTTTTACTTCCTGCTTTATAACTTCTGGGTTCATCTGAGGTCACAGGAAGAGACCAAGTGCAGAAGGGGAAGAACTCTTATAATTTAATAAAGTTGATTTTAGAGGGTTTAAAAAGAAATAGATTTACTGTTGTAATATGTATTGATTACACCAGAGTTTATGTTGCCAGTAAAGAGGAGTAGTAGAGGTTTGAATATAATCATGTTCATCTTACCAACCTACTGAATGGAATAGTCCAGAGGAGAAATTGTTTGGTTAAGTGGACTATTTAAGCAGAACTCAGGTGTTTCAAGAAAAAGATTCAGGTCAGTGTAGCTGTGTGTGTGCAGGTTGACCTTAATTTCTGTTGATTTAAGTTCAGTTATGTTTATTTGAACTGAGTTAATTATAGAGTTGAGTTTCTTTGTAAATATTGTTTGGGCCACAAAATGGTGAATAAATCACTTGCTACACTGGACAGCATCGGTCTCCTGCACTTCTTTGACCGCTTAAGTCGAGTGCTACCACATACCCCCACCCAACTTATTCATTGGTCTCTCTCAGAACCCTTAAATACTGTTCTGATTCTCATGCCCAAAATTCCTGGAGAAGACAAAGGGGAAGACAGGTGTTTGCGACACCTCAAATCCACTTGGACTACAGATGGGCAGCTGAAGCATTGGGTAGAGTAATACATCTTTCTCATTGTAACAAAAGAGCTTTTGAAGCTTCAAAGACTGAAAGCTATGCCCTACTAGTGACATTTAGTCAGCTACAATTTTCCACAAACTTCTACATTATTCACATGTAATGGGCTCAAATTGTGGTCATATTTTGTACTTGTAAATCAGACTGTGTAGTTGTGAACTGAGTTTTGTAACCTTGTAAACAAAAATATCTGAAAATTGTGTCTTTGTGCATTTTGTCAAGATCTACAATTTTTGTATATAGATAAGAATTTGTGTATGTCTAAAAAAAGATTTGTGTTTGAAAATGGAAAAAATTACACAAGTTACACATTTTTTTTGTTAAGGTCTGTTCACAGATACAAAGCGTAAAACTCTGCGCTCAAGTTCCCTCGCTTGTGAGTTTCAACTTGCAAATACGAATTTTGACCAGAATTTTTTTCCTTTCAGCTGATTGGTCAATATCATTGTGTTGGGGCGTGCCACCTGAGCACGGTGGGTGAGGCTTAAGGTCCAGTGATTGGAAACAGATGTGGATGAGATGATAAACTGTGACTGTTCTAATTTCACAATAATATATTTAATGTTTCTTACATTTTTGTGAAACATGATTTAGACTGATATGGCAGGTTTGGTCTTTGAAGTGAGATGACGGGTATTTCAACATGTGTTTCAAATAACTCAAAGTTATCACAACTGAAGGTGTCTTTCAATGCTATGAAGCAGGGAGGGAATACATGTGTAAATAAAACAGTGCCAAAGATTAAAATCAGTCACCTCACTAACGCTTAAAGTGAGCTGTAACACAATTTCCCCCAGAATCAATTTAGTATGGTTGATGTGCATATCTTATAGTGGTCTTCAAAACTGTTATTTGAATAAAACTTCAATACATAAATAAAAGTTTTAAAAATCTGAACTTTAATTACATAGCATTAAATTCAAAGATATGACCACAAACTGCCAAATCAAAGCAGGTGGGCCACAAAATCAAATTCAAATTTCAGAGATTAGAGTCTAGACTCAGTTCTGGATCACAGGAGCTCATTGTCAGGAAGATGCGTCTGGAGAGCTCCGGACCAATCCTACGGGTGGTGGAAGTGACACCTTCTCCTCTCCGGATCAGTAGGTCAGAGAGCAAAGAGATCTTCTCTTGTTTCGTCCTGCACAGGTTGTAAGCCTACAAACAGACAAGGAAATATCAAGTATTAACAAATAAACTGACATGTTTGCAGATGTGCCTTGTGATGTGTTGACTCACATCCGAGAAATCTTATTGGCTGCACTTAACATTGTGATAAATAAAGTAATAAAAAAGCCTAAGCTCTTCATGCCACCTCCAATGACCACAGACCAAACACAAAGTGAAGTTTGTATGTAATTGTTTTGCTTGCAAAGTCTATGAAAAGACACAAGCCGACACAAATTTATGCAGGATAGAGCAAATAGAGGTGATCACACATCAACAGGATTTGAAAAAAAATGCTTTGTACTCTATTTAAGGTGCTTGGATGAACTGGATTCTCAGCATAGGTACATACTGTAATATTCTTCTAACCATAGATGTCATTACCCAAGGAAATACCTCTACATCAGCACTTAACCCTTTAAAACCGGTAGGAGCGGGCACGCTCTGTTTTGCGCAACTACTTTTAAATCCCGGTAGCTCTGCAACCACGTAAGCTAGCGCAATAATTTTTTTTGCATATGAAACCTGAGGAGTTGTACTTACATCTTATGCCATCAGCTTGTCCTAGGTCACAGTTTCCTTCCACATATAGCTTTACAAAAACTGCATAAAAAGCGCTTGCAGCAACAAAAACAGAATATTCCAGAAAC